TCTGAATCTCTTGATTTGTAAACACTAGAGTTGTCTTTAATAAGACATAAACATGTTTTTTTTCCTCATGGAATAATAAATAGTGGGGGAGGAAGTTTCTTTCTTTACTGTTATTATACTTAATAGATTTTCCTGAAATAACACATTTTTATCAGTCCCCAGTTGGTTAGTAACATATAGAAAGGGAGAAGCAGCTCAGAACGGTGACACTGGCATTTCCATAGTCATTGTGAATTTCCGTGTTTTCATATGCAATCATGAGATGCAGAAACCTCCCAAGGAAAAATGATAGGGAGAGAGTCAGGTGAAATGGTAGGATATGCCATCCTGTCCTGATGATAAAAGATGATAATTTAAGTTTACTATGTTTCCTTAGAACTGATAACTATTGCAAATCCAAAAATTTTATACTGCGTTGTCCACTAAAATATACAGTGTGTGCATCACCTACAATGATGCCTCAATTTTTCCCTCAATTCCCTTCTGAAAAATCTGTTTCATTATGACTTTTATCTACCACAAAAAACCAAAATAGGTATCTTACAATGAGTGTGTAAGTACTGATAATGCAGACACAATAAATATTTCTTGGAAAGTTGGGTGAATTCTTCCCAGGGATCTAGCTTTTTTCTTTTGTAGCTGAAAACCCGTATATTATATGTTTGCTTTTGGTTCAAATTCTCTCGAGATATGATCACAGCACCATAAAAGGGCAGCAACTTGAATCCCCTTGCTCAGTCTGAGCATAAGTGCTAAGGGAACTGACTCTTCAAGTTCAACACTGATGTTTCACATAAGAAGGTCAATAAAAGAAAAACAAACCTCTTCACATCAGGAATCTATTGATACTTTATCCAAGCAGACACAGGTAAGGATAGGCTAAAGAAGTGTGGACATTAATTTTTTGTATCTTTTATTGCTTTGTTTTTGTCTGTTACTATTTTAAGGCATGATGTTCTGTGAAAACAGAAACAGTGGGGATGAACTACTGTTTCATTCCCTTTTACATATTGGTTGAATTGATATTAAGGTGATAATTCTTCTGTTTCTCTTTTTTTCCATGTACAGGTAGATACACAGATAGATAGGATGGCCTAAATCAGGGCATGCAGAAAAAAATGAGGAGGAAGTTATGGGGCTCAGGTTTTTTCCACAAATAAGCTAAAGAACTTACTCAACTCCCTCCTAAATCAATTTATCTTTTCATTCATTTTCAAGGGAGTTGGATCATATAATATAAGAAAGAATTTATCACTTGCTGCAGAGCCAAGGATCTTCAAGGCAGAAAATAATATTCTTTTGTTAAAGAAAAGTTTGATAAAATATTAGAAAAAATCTTTGTATATTATGAACAGATTATAATGTATCCTCCTCAACATTTATTTGGTTGACATTCTCCAGAATTAAAAATGAAAGCTTATAAATAGGATAAACATAAAAGGGGGAGAACAGACGTTATTAGTATTTTTATATGCATTTTGTCCAAAGTACCGTGTTCTGAAATGCTCAGTATATATGTGCTGTTTATCCTTTCAGTCTTGCAGATATAAAAGGTGAGTAACTCCCTTTTAGTCAATTAAGTTAGCACAGTATAAAATTGGTGTATGTGAAGGGGAACAACAGTTCCATGTTTCTACTGTTTTTCCCTGCAACATTTTACAGTTACAAATGACCATTCTGGTTTTTTATCATCCAGAATCTGTGGGCTTAGCATCAGAGGACTGGCTGAAAGGCAAGAGTAGAATTTTGAAAGGTGAATTAGTGACCCTTGTGGAATCAGTGTTAGGCATTATGGCTGTGCAAGGCTTTGGACTGTGCTTCAGATCTGGACAAGCTTCGGACACTTTGGTGCCCAAAGCAGCGTGTCTGAATCAAAGCACTGGGTTTGTTAGGCTTTCTGAAGTGGTTTGGAGCTTCCAAACTGCTTCAGAGCCACTTCGGAGCTGCTTCAGATATCCAGCCATAGGGTATAATAGGGAATCAATGAAATATCTGTAACTTTGGTTTTTTTTGTCTGATTTGGATGGAACTTGCAGGGGTAGTAGCCGTTGCTGTGAGCATGAAGTCTGCCAAGCTACAAGAAGTTCAGTGCAGAGGTTTGGGGGGAACTGCAACCCAAATTCTTGAAAGCAAAACTCCTGTTGAGTGCATGTGTCATACCACGGGGGGGGGGGGGGG